TCAAGGACTCTGCATCAGAAAGCAAACTCCAAACGCCTTCTGAGCCAGAACACCGTCTTCTCCTCCCAGCGAGTAGCACCTGACATCTTTGGTTACAGGAAAGATAAATTTGAAGCCAAAAGCGAAACAATCTGGGAATTCAAGCTCACCCATCGTGAGGGAAGAAGTTATCTGAAGGGAGTTGGTAAGGAGCCTGCACAAGTGGAAGGAGTTATTGTGATTCCAGAGTTCAATGTTTCGCCGTTAATTGGACTGGATTGAAGATCCATGAAGAAGAAGACGAAGACGAAGAAGACGAAGGAGGAGGAGGAGGAGGAGGAGGGATTTCTACCCCACCCTTCACTACCCAAAGGAGTCTCAGAGCAGCTTACAAACTCCTTTCCCTTTTCCCTCCCCACAACAGACACCCTGTGAGAGAGGTGGGGCTGAGAGCTCTGACAGAAACTGCTCTTTTTTCAAGAACAGCTCTTGTCAGAACTACGGCTTGCCCAAGGTCATCCAGCAGGTGCAAGTGGAGGAGTGGGGAATCAAACCCGGTTCTCCCAGATTAGAGTCCGCGCACTTAACCACGACACCATGTTGGGGACCTCTGCCTTAGACTCTACCCTACAAAGAGGACATTTCCTTCAAGGGAACTTATCTCTGTCACCTGGAAATCAGTTGTAATTCTGGGAGGACTCCAGACTTCACCTGGAGATTGGCAACCATGAGTGATGGGTGAATGAGTCCCAGCAGGTATGGCTGGTAGCGCTCTCTCCTTTAAACAGTGACGGACTTGGCATCTGGACTTCTTGGAGGGTCTGGGCCCTGAGTTCGTGTTCTTGGTAGGTGGGATATGGATGCTGGTGATTAACTGATTATAGGGCTGTTTTTAAAAAACAAACAAACCCTGAAGTATAATCTGCCTTTCTCATTTGGACTCAAGGTGGATTACACAGAGTGAGTCAAGACAATTAACACGATGGGATATTTTAAAAAAAATACAATAGAATTATGGTTGTAAAAACCAATCAGAAGCAATGTTCCCTCTAAGCTGTGGAGGCTTGTGAGCAAAAATTCTACTTTGTGAGCTACTGGCATAAAAGCTGTGAGTGAGTGATTTGGCTGCTGCATAAATCAGTTTGCTCTGGAGCTACCCTTCCTGAGCGGAGACAAAAATGTGTGAGCCGGAGGCTGAAAAATGGTGAGCTAGCTCACACTAACTCATCTTAGAGGGAACACTGATCAGAAGTCACATGAACACACAAGAAGCTGCCTTCTACTGAATCAGACCTCCTTGGTCCATCAAGGTCAGTCTTATCCGCTCAGACTGGCAGTGGCTCTCCAGGGTCTCAGGCGGGGGTCTTTCCCATCGCCTTCTGCCTGGTCCCTTTAACTGGAGATGCCGGGGATTGAACCTGGGACCTTCTGCCTGCCAAGCAGAGGCTCTGCTAAGTGAGCCACAGTCCCTCTCAAATCTGAAAACAGAGCTGAAGAAAAGCTTAAGTATTAACCTGACACGTTAAAGGATGCAAAAATTACATAATAGGGTTCTAGTTTTAGCAAGCTATACACAGTAGCAGGGCTATTTTTGGGCAGGAACGCACAGGAACGGAGTTCCGGCTGACTCCTGAGTTGGCCACGCCCAGCAGGAACTCATTAGCATAATAGGCCACACCCAACAGCAGAAACTCATTAGGATTGGCTACTTTAGGGGTGTGCGGCCTAACATGCAAAGGAGTTCCTGCTACAAAAAAGCCCTGGGTTTTGACAACAAACAAGGTAAACAGAATAAGAAGCAAAAGCTGGATGAGCACACTTCTGGTAACATGGGGGTGTGGCCTATAATGCCAATGAGCTGTGCTGTCAGGGGTGTGGCCTATTATGCTAATAAGTTCCTGCTGGGCTTCTTCCACAAAAAAAGCCCTGCACAGTAGTATAGACCATAGTCCCTAATAACTTATCCAAGTAACTTTGCAAAGAGAGGAGAGTTTTACAGATACCGCGGACCACCCAAAAGACATATCTGTGGGGTCTAGCTCAAATCAAGCTGGAATGCTCCCTAGAAGCGAAAAATGACTCAAGTGAGGCGATCGTACTTTGATCACCGTATGAGGTCACCTTATGAAAAGGCAGTCATGCTAAGAAAAGTGGAAGGCAGCAAGGAAAGAGAAAGACCGAACAGGATGGATTGACTCAGTGAAGGAGGCCACAAAGGCCCTCGGTTTGCGAGACCTGAGCACGGCTGTTGACGACAGGGCGTTTTGGAGGTCATCGATTCACAGGGTCCCCGTAAGTCAGAAGCAACTCGATGGCACTTAATACACCCACACACAACGTTGTGAATCATTCAGGACAGCGCAACCCAAGTGCCTGTGTAGAAAAGCCCTCTCGAGTCATTCAGTTTTGTAGCGTTTGCGGAAAGCCAGGAGAGGGGGGGGGAGCCTCCCTGACCTCCTCAGGCAGGCCGTTCCACAAGGTGGGGGCCACAGCGGAGAAGGCCACGTGTACGGGGGCAGTGGTTGGCTTTGCCCATTTGCAGGCCCGACTGGCAGAAGGCCCTGCTCAGGTGAGCGAAGCTGTGACTGGGGAGAGGCGGTCTCGCAGATCAGAGCGGCCATGAAGAGCTTTCGTGTGTAAGGAGGATCTCAAAGAGGAAAATCTCACTGCCACCTCCGAACGACAATTCCCAGGCTTCTTTGGAGGAAGTCACACCAGTTCGACAAACCCCAAAAGAAGGCGGGGGGGGGGGGGGGGGGTTGATATGCCTCCCTCAACTCTCCGGGAAGTTATAGGGCAGCAAACCTGGAATAGGCTGAAGAACTGGATTGTTGTCCTATAGCGCCCCCTCCTGGGTGGGAGAAATTGGCTCCCAAACATGCCGCGTCCGTGGTTCTCAGACCCCCAAATTAGGCCGTGACTAGGAGCTGCGGTGGCTCAAGTTAAGATTCAAGTTCAGTGGCACCTTAGAGAGTTGCAGGGTGTCAGCCCTGATGAGGGGCGCTTTGACTCTCGAAAATGTACACCCCACAACTCTTGCTGGTTTCTGAGGTGCGACTGGACTCAGATCTGTTTCCTGCATTGTACGTTGTTCAAACCAGACACAGGATCGTAACCTGAAGCGGCGGGCTTTCTACCCCAAACCTGACCGGCTACAATCCCACACCAGTGCACGCATTCCTCCACTGCCACCCTGCTAATGCTCACACATGCTTTGGGGATGCACACAACCACAGTAAGTTGTGTGGGATGGGGGAGAATCGAACCCTACACACTGAATGCCTCCTGGAGGCGAGACAGACTCTCCTCATTTCTCACGAGAGACTTGAGGGCTAAGCATTTCTCCGGGAAAGAGGTACATGGGAAGCAATGGGGGGAAGGGCAAAGAAACTACCAAAGAAATTAGACATGTAAATGCAAAATAACGCACCGGCACGCACCAGAGTTTCCTGGTGGGCAGGACTGAGAAAAACCCAAACTTTCCCACCCGCACAGCAGGTGCCCAGGCTTTGCTCTGAAATGTTGGCAAAATTTCAGAGCAAAGCAAGTTTAAGGAAAGTCGAGGGAAAGCCCAGGAGGTGCGTAAATGCACCATGATGCTGTGGGGGGGAAAACCCGCTTCTCAAAAGCATTGAATCCAAGGCAAATGACCTGTGTGGTAATCAGTGTTCCCTCTAAGCTGAGTTAGTGTGAGCTAGCTCAGTTTTTTAGCCTCTGGCTCACACATTTTTGTCTTCGCTCAGGAAGGATGGCTCCAGAGCAAACTAACGTATGCAGTAGCCAAATCGCTCACTCTCAACTTTAATGCCAGTTGCTCACCAAGTAGAATTCTTTCTCACAAGACTCCACAGCTTAGAGGGCGCATTGCAGGCAGTGTTCCCTCTGAGCTGAGCTAGTGTGAGCCAGCTCACAGTTTTGTAGCCTCCAGCTCACACATTTTCGTCTTAGCCCAGGAAGGATGGCTCCAGAGTAGACTAGTTTATGCAGTAGCCAAATCGCTCGCTCACAACTTCAATGCCAGGAGCTCACAAAGTAGAATCTTTGCTCACAGGACTCCACAGCTTAGAGGGAGCATTGGACTGGTAACGGCCATCAACGCTGCCCTTTCCTCGCTTGCTCTTTTCCAACCACCCCTTTTAACCTTGGTACAAACGTGAAACCATTGGCATGTCTGCCATATTTTTTGATGTCTTAGTTTATGTTCATAGCCCCAGTGACATTTCAAGCTACGTCACGAGCAGAAAGAAGTGTGGAGGTGAGAAATTCAGAGAACCCGTTAGATGTACTGCTACAGCATTGTAGCGATGCAATGCTCTAGGGTTATGAGAAACTTTCAGGGGTCTCTTAGAAACAAGCTGTAATGATTCCTTGTTTTATGAGTGTGTGTGTGCCTTTAAATGCTTGGTTGGAGTGCATGGTTAGTGGACTAGAGTGATTGAGAGAGAGAGATGTGCTGTGACTGGTGGATGACAGAATGTGGGAGGGGTTTTTGAAGTGAATCTCTGTGAGTGTGTCAGATATGAGAGGCAGTTGGAAATCGGTTGGGATTGTTCCGTTAAAGAGTTAAGTCAGCGAGTGTTCAGTTAGTTCTGAGTGAATTCTTAAAAGAGTGCAGAATATATGTCCTTAGCCTGTGTGGCTGACTATAGTTTGGTGTAGTGGTTAAGTGCGCGGACTCTAATCTGGGAGAACCGGGTTTGATTCCCCACTCCTCCACTTGCACCTGGCTGGATGACCTTGGGCAAGCCGTAGTTCTGTCAGAGCTGTTCTTGAAAAAGAGCGGTTTCTGTCAGAGCTCTCTCAGCCCCGCCTAACTCAC